GTTACGAGGGACGGCCCGTCTAGATATCTGAACGACCTTCTTATAAGACCTAATAATTTAATTGCCTGATTCACTTTCTTCTCGTAATGGCCCGATAACATCAGCTCATTGACAACATACACACCAAGGTACTTTTCACATTCAGTCTCAATTAATGCTTGGTTCTTAATTTCTCGAAATAACCTTGGCGTCATCCGCAAACTTTTGTGTGGAGGAATGTACAGCTTCTGGCATGTCATTTATGAAGCAAATAAACAACAGCGTGCCCAATACACTGCCCTGTGGTACCCCACTTGTGACGGGTACACATGACGATTTCGTGCCATTAATCACCAACACTGCTTGCGATCACAGAAAAAGTCCCTGATCCATGCTAGGACACTTCCCCGAATCACGTACTATTCCAGTTTAATTTTTAGCCCTTCATGGGGTAAGCTGTCGAAAACCTTGGCAAAATCTAGGTATATATTATCGATATTACCACCCTGTCCCAGAATTTGGGTCCGAGCATCCAGTACCTTGAGTATTTGTGTTAGGCCAGAGCGTCCTGGCATAAAAAGTGTTGGCAATCCTTTACAAGATGGGACTCGTAGCAACGGATTTAAGTTGGATAAGTTTAGGTATAGGAGGGAGATAGGAAGAAACTGGTTCACAAATATAGTGGTAGATGAGTGAAACAAGCTTAGCAACTTTGTAGTAAATGCTGAGATGCTGGAAAGTTTTAAAAGGAGGCTAGATAGATTCGTGGACGACAGAGGGTGGTTGTAACTCTCGACAGGAGCTGCCATGCACAGGCCAACCGGCCTATTGCAGACTCCTTACTTTCTTATGTTCTTATATAATAGACTATGATATATTCCTATTACCTAACAAGTAAAATGGGCACTTCCACTATGTCGATCGTTGGAGAGGTTCAGGATTACCGCACTACCACCGTCTACGCAGCCAGCACTTACTTTTACACGATGAGTGGATAGCACACCGTCGGTGGACCGGGGTGAGACCTCGTTGCACTTACTGTAGTGACGGACTTCGATGCAGCTGGTGAGACGATGAGCGGGACTGGGGACGAGTGTTGCTGGCCCCTTCACGGTTATAAGAATAATGCTCGTTGAAGGAGCTGCAGGCCCCTTATATTGGAGATGGCAAGCCGGCAGATGACCTCTCTTAATTAATACTAAACTGGGTAGGTCTGGACAGTTGTGTTTGCCCAGGTGTGTGTTGAAGGCTGGAGGGTAGTCTCTTGAGTTAACACGGTCATGATCGTGTGGCGGTGAGAATTCTGGTTCCCTTTGGGTCAGGTCTACGTGGGTGACCACATGGGCATCTACTTACTGTTATGTGTTGTTATTCTCTGGGCTGTAAGCTATGGTCTGATAAACAATCATTATATATGAAACCAAATATATACTGTAGTGTACATGGTAAATAAAAATAAGAGGTAACAAACTGTTATAATTATTTACAGAACCGTAAGCTTGCCCGTTTGTTAGTGTGTGTTTACCATTTATCAGCATACTATTCAGTTCTTTATTAATTTGTTCGGAGGAAACTTGTGATGTTTGGTCGAGTCACACGCCGTCTCACATCTGCGGTGAGGTGCGCGTGTAGTGGATTTCTCCCCTACAAACGCTGTTTGTCGCTGAGTAGCCGACCCCGCGAATTCCACAGTGTATGCCTCGTGGTCTAGGTCAACCAGCGCCGCCCACGGAGCCGGGGTCAACTATTAAGCCACGCCTACCCCAGCTATTTAAGACCTGACCTCGTGGTGACCTCTCTCTTTTCTACCTACACCAACCAGCAAGCAACACCTCCTCCTCCTCCGCTGCCTGGCGGTCCTCGCTCCCGCCGGCGAGCATGGCGACCCACAAGCTCTCCTCCTCTGAGCACCCTCACCAACCAGCTCTCTCTACATCCCGCTTATAACCATGCTGCCACTTCCCAGCACCAAGCTGCATTGTACATCCAATACAACATGTATACAGAGAGCACATTGTGAGTTTCCTTTCTCCATCCCATCCTGAGAACGAACCAAACATCCCATACCCCACACGCGCACTACCACTGTATTTTTTGTTTTTAAGATGCACACGTATATAATTATATAAACCAGGTATTTTTATGTAGATCTGTAATCAGGCATTACCTCTAACTTCATCCACTCACCAACCGAAGCAACAATTTGCCAATACATTTTGTTACATTTCTTTAAGTCTCCCATTAATGGAAAATTTTCTATGGTACTCGAGTTACAAATGGAAGAACTGTTCGTCAGTTTCTCCTCGGTGATACGATATAATATTTTACCATTAACCTTATTTACATAATAGCCACCCACAAGAGGCGGCCATGCCAAGGGAAGAAGGCCAGTGGACTGTTTAGGATCCCCCCATTGTTCTTGATAATTTTGTCAAGGGCTATTTTGAAGACCAATACTGTTCTTGTTCATCAACTTAGGCTAGTAGACTGTTCCATAGGTCTTTTACCCTCGTGTGCAAAACATTTCCTTATATTCGTTCTGCATGATAACTTGGTGAGCTTCTTAAGTTAATAAATGTTTTATGTTATGACTTTGATGTAACTCTTAAGTAAGTTTGAGTAACAAACGTTATAAAATTTTAGCGAAAACATGTCAATCAAAATTAATGTGCCATTTTTTCCTAATCTGATGATTATGCCTTTTTCCGGTGTCATATTTTCCTATTGCCATTTTCTCCTGTGCCAGTTTTTCCTACAATCGTCACTGGGTGGGAGGTAGAGCGGGTGGCGGTGTCCCCTGGCTCTGTGCTGGCGTTCTTGCTCCCACTACCCTCCCTTTGTATATAACCAAAGTACGTCCGTCCCGGCTCTTCATCGACTCCCCCCTACTGTACTTAATTGAACTGAATTGAATTTAGAGGGCTTAGTTAAGTTAGCTTACTAGGTTAGAATAGGTTGGTTAATCTTCATGTGAAATAAACTGAGGTGTCTAATTTTCAGGTGAACCTAAGTAGGTCTATTTAACAAGTAGAATAAAATAGAACATTTCCTGAAGTATCGTGCAATATATTGTGGGGTTTCGTGATGTTGAATCGCACATAGGAGAAGGTAATCTCAGCTATGGCGTTTTCTCTATATAAATATATAATATACAAAACAGTCTGTTGCTAGGAAATTGCTGCGTGGTAAAGGAGTTGCTGTGCAGGAGGTATTGCAGAGTTCTTGGTAGAATGCCTTTCACGGCGAGGCTGTGAGCTTATATAGACGTCCACCAGAAGTAAGCGTTGCTGGTGGCCGACCCCCGGCGAGTCTAGACGGCTAGGCTGATCGGCGACTAACGGCAGTAGCAGTTGTAGGGGAGAGTATCCACTACAATATCATAGCTGAATGCCTCTTCACGCATGTTAAGATTAGGATCAACAAATTAATTTTTGATACACTCACAAGCAGTCTGTCGTCATACACATGTACTGTATGACGTCATAACCCAAGATTGTCTCTGTAAAATATCTTTAATAAAATTTGGTTAAAAAAATCAAGAGTTATATTGACCGTAGGTGAAAATTGTCAGTTGTGTTAAGAAGATAAGGACAGGTCAGTTCCTGGAGTAAATAGCTAATGTTTTATTAATTCTATATTACATATCAGAAAACAAAATGTAACAAAATATACATACATACATACCTGTACACACACACAGTAAGGTTTACATGATTGATTGATTGATGACTTTAATGGATAGTTCTGTCAGTTATACCTAATTGTCCAGTGAGGAGGAACAGGCTACCTGGGGGAAACATACGAGGCTCGGGTGGGTCATTGAACAACATTCCTCTCACATCCCATTCATGAGGAAATAGAAGCCGACTCTGGGTACAGTAGTGATCTGATATGTGGACCATAGGCACAGTAAGAAGATTAGATTGGTTGCTTATCATCTTGGCGGGACTGAAGTCCAGGTAAGAAAAAGATATGTTATCAGATACCACTAACGATGTTACCAGTATTGCCCTGCAGCAAATGACCCACATGTGTCCCTTCTAGACACATGCAAATTTGCTCTTTTGGTCCTGAAACATTAGGCATATATACAGGGGCCTCACAGCATTATTTTACAGTTGGCCTAATTTAAACGTCCAGGTATCGGGTTTAATTTACTGTCTAGTCTCAAGCCAGATTTGTACCTACAAGAAACTGTACGTGGGGTGGGGTAGGGGCCAGGGGAAATGTGTGAGGGGGGCGAGGGCTGACCCACCCTTGGTCACATAGTCTGTTACCATTTCACGAAACGTAAGTTTGTCAGGCAAAATTTCCTAAACATGATACCATGTTGTGATGCGTTAATGAGAATGAATGTACTCGGTCAGAATTTTATCTAGGAGTTTGTATATAAGGGATCCGGATGTTAGGCTGTGGTTCAGAGTATTGTAATGATGAGTGTAAAATACATACAGTATTAATTAACTTTTTGAAAATAATCAGGTCTTTTTTATAATATTCCTTAAAAATAGTAAAAGACCAGCACGTTGTTTTCTGTCATATATAAGTACTATCTTTTCCTATCATATATTTAAAATGACTTTAAATTAAAAGTTTATGTATACAATGCATACACTTGTGGTCCAACTGTGCCTAACCCCTCCTGCACACTGTTGGGTCAGAATGATAGAAAAATTAGATCAGTTCCCGGTACAACACACCAAATTTTCTATGACAAGGATGATTTATACACGAGATGTATTTATAAACTAATGTAAAAATAATAAATATCTTGATGGAATTTTAACTTTTTTAAAGCATCATATAGTAAAAATTATATAATAATAACTAAAAAGTATATAATTAAATAAAATAACTAATCATATCATCAAATTATAAAATCCCAGACAATAGTGTTTTCTCAATACATATATTATTATTATTATTAAATTGGTAAAGTAGAATAACCTATAAATGGTATTATATTTATAAATTATTACGGAATAAGACTTACACATAATTACAGGGTTAATAGATAAGCCGGGTCGCAACAGTGAACCTCTAAGACAGTGAGGGTGAGGACAGGCGCCATGGCTCTCTTCAACTCTCTCTCCACAAGAACTTTCTCACAGTCAGCAAGAATGTCTGCCGCAATTCAGAATGTAACTGTAATCGGAAGTGGGCTGATGGGTGCTGGTATTGCACAGGTAATTACTTAATTCTCAATAAATCTCAAGTATCTGTGGGACCGGTGTTGTGGTCTGACTAATTACCCAAATATAGCCGGAATTAAGTCCAATAATGGTCCTAGATGAGTAAATCGGACTGCTAATCACTTCTTGACTAGTATTTGGTGTTATAAAGTCACAAAAAATTAGAAAACTTAATTTAATCTGAATTGTGTTGTGTTAGGTTAGATTAGGTTAGGTTAGGTTAGGTTAGGTTAGGTTAGGTTAGGTTAGGTTAGGTTAGGTTAGGTACATGCACTTGATCTATTAACTCAGATTAAATTAAGTTTACCAATTTTTTGTGACTTTGGGGTAATTAGTCGGACCCCCGGTGTTGTGCTCTGGCAACGGTAAATTTGCATAAGCGCACCACACACTGTTACAAAGTCAAAAATATGTTATTATAATGTATTTGTGTGTGTTTAGACCGAATATGACCTTCATTTTCCGAAAAAATAATGGCTAAACAAATAAAAAATACACCAAAAAACACTAGAAAAACGAAAATCAGATCCAACCTAACCAAGCCTAACTGACTCACCATATGATGGAATCACCTATTTCTTACCTTATTGGCCTGGTCCTTGTTCATCGCTGGATTCTGAGATTCTTACAGGCTGCTGATGTTGATTCTCGCTTTAAGGGGGGTATAGGCGGGCAGCTTCTTCTAAGAATAAAAATCGAATTTGATTGGGCCAAAAATACAGCTAATTAAATAAAATATCATTTTAATTGGTTGCAAAAAAAAAAAAACCTTTTGATTGGCCACGTGACGTGTACGGGAACACATGCGCTTGATGAGTTATGAAGGAGACACGCAGTGTGGGAGGTGAGGTAGGCGATAAAGGCGTTAGAGGATTTGTATTTATGTAATGTATTTTATTTACTTATTTAATTTTTTTTTACACAAATACATATCTACCTGGCAATGCATCTTAATTGTTGACTTAACCATTTTATATGATATGTAAATTTATATGGTTGTCATGATTTCCAGGTGGCAGCCCAAACTGGCCATAAGGTGACCATGGTAGATATTGATGATGCTGCTGTAGAGAAGGCACAGAAGAGAATTGGAGACTCCATCCAACGTATAGCCAAGAAGAAGTTTGGTGGAGAAAGTGCGGAAGCTAACAAATTTATTTCGGATGCCATTGGTCGTCTCACTATATCAACTGATGCTGTGTCCTCTGTAGGGTCTGCTGATTTGGTAGTGGAGGCCATTGTTGAAAATTTAGATGTGAAGAAGAAGCTCTTTACACAACTGGACCAGGTCAGTACACACATTGATTTGTAATGACAACATATTTCTTTATCTTGCAGTAATATTTCGTTGTCTATCAGCCATTGCTTACACAATTCCATTTTAGATGATAAGATAGCTATATCCTTTGGGTCTCCACCTAACACTGATGGTACACTGTCATCAACAGACAACATTCAAATGTATACACATGAATAATAATATATATGTTAAATGTAATTAGTCCCTCCTGGGTATCCATACATTGTACATGAATAGTACATAAAGAGTTGGAACAATTGTGATGCAACTTAACAGTGAGGGAAGAGACATTGTAGTTAATATTTCCTCTGAAGACCAGGCAGCTAACAGTCTCCTCCATCTATGAACATTGGGCTGGTAACAGTTAGACAGGGTTTAGTTCATCCTCAAGCTGAGCAAAAATAATGGTTAATTTTCAGTTCCCCGACTGAGCCTCATTCTACCCTCGACCTCAACTTTTTGGGGCAAAACAAACAAATATAATTTTATATTAACTTTGTTAAAAAAATATTAGGTAGTTGAAGGGAAAAGCAAATGACATCAATCCCAGATATGTTCTACTGTAGTACAGTATTCATTCTCCATTGGACTTTACTCTTAAGACAGTAAACTCTTTAGCATTCATGGGAGTTAATTTTTGGAAATTGGTTTGAATTCAAGAAAGTTAATACCTTAAGCCTATGTGATAAAGGAGTTAGGTAGATGCGTCCCCAATAATGTCTGGGCAGAGGTTTTAGGTGACAAAAATGAATGTAAAACAAGTGCGTTAAATAATTCAGTTATGAAAAATTCATAACAAAAAAGACTGGAGAATGTGGCATGGTCAATCCCCCTCACTTTTTTTGTGGAGGGAGGGGATGAGTGTCAGGGAAGAGATTACCTTTTGACTCGGCTTGTCCTTTTACAGTACAGTACTGTATTTTGAAGTCAAATTATATACAGTACTGTATCATATTTTGTTCTATTATTTAATGCTGTATGTGATATTATTTGTGATGAAATATACACCATAACACACTGAGCATACGAGAATATTATAATGAATAAAGAAAACAAACTGGTGAACCAGACAACACCTACTCCTCCCACCTCCAGCACGTTTACACATGGTGTCAACTCCTGTACAGGTACATATTAACTCTCGTTAGACCGATATCAAATCTTCTGATTAGACCACTGTACAGTATCCCTATTAAAGACAATACAGTACAGTATTTATTTTTATAATAAATAAGCTAATACAGTAAAGCCTCGAATAACGACAGTAATGTGTCCTCCAATATTGCTGTGTAAGGTGAATCAGTGTATCGTGAATCATTATTAACATTAAATTAAGCAATAATAATGAGATGCGTTGCCAAGTGTGACCTTTTCATATCTTTTGTGTGGCTTTTTACCCTCTTTTCCCCCCAAAACAATACAATTAATTAAAAATGCAAACTAAATTCTTTAAATAATGTTTCCGAATGCACCTTATACAATAGAAATGAATAATAATATGGTCACGCAAGAGGAGATGGGACGCCATTGTTTTCGTTCTTGTTTACAGCTGAGAGTCCGGGACGATAGAAGTCGCTAACCACTTATGGCAAAGAAAAAAAAAGTGAGATGGATTGGGAACGCCAGCATATACGTACGCATTTAATGAAACAGCGTCATTTATCTTTTTAAGAATATGTACAAAGAATTCATTATTGTTTATTACTAAATGTGTAATTGATTGAATTAATCTTTCTACTGTATATGCGAAATGAACAATACAATTCATTAATATTACGTAGAATATTAAAACACACAAGAGGATAAGAGACGGCATTGTTGTTGTCAGTGTTTACACCCATAATGTCAGTTATCCACATGAAACTGAAGAAAATAAGACCCTGGTTGTTGTTGTAGTAAAATTAATGTAAAAAATATGTATGTTTTAATTAATGTTATTTAATGTACAGTAGAAGTAACCGCTGATATTAAAGATAAAAAAGGTGAGACTGATAGTGGAACGCCAATGTATACGTGCACACTCAAGGAAACATAGTCATTTTTATCTTAAGAATATGTACAAAAGATTCATTTTTGTTTATTACTGAATATGTATTTCATTGAATTAATGTTTATATATGTGAGATGAACAATGCAATTCATTAATAATACAAAGAATATTAAAACACTCGAGGAGACAAGACGGCATTGTTTTTGTGTGACGATGGTTCTACATAAGAAACTGAAGGAAATAAGACCCTGGTTGTAGCTGTAGTGAACTTAATGTAAAAAATATGAATACCTGTATGTATGTTTTAAGTAATGTTATTTAATGATAATAAATGGAACACTAGAAGTTGCTAACCACTAATGGTAAAGAAATGAAGCGAAACAATTGGGAACGCCAACGTATGTACAGTAAGTGCGTACATGTGAAAACATGTCGTCATTTCTCTACATATGAATATGAAAGCAACACTCATTTTATTTTTTATTTTTTTGTTACGGGGATTAGCCCATCCGGGCACAGGTCACTGACCCACATCGGGGCCTGGGGGCCGAAAATGTAATAATAATAATAATAATAATGATAATAATAATTCAGATAAGTAAAATTTAAAAAAAAATAATGATAGCGATACAAAAATAATAATAATAATAAAGAACCATAAAGAAATACAAAAATTAAAAGAAAATAGTCAAAAGTAAGAAACGATATATGTATGTTGTGTTGTCAATAGTAAGAGGAAAAAATTGAAACCTGCAATTGTGTGTAAATGAGGCAGAAAGTCAGATCAGCAACCTGGGACTTGGTCACAATTTTTTTAATGCCAATGGCAGCAGGGTCTACCATTAGACAACACGTTATGCTTCCAATATCTTCCCGGGCGGTAGTACCTCCCTGTTTGGTAGCTACCTACTACTGTAATTTACTGTTCAAATATGTTTTAAATAATTCTTACAAATGTAAAACAAAAATTTTTCTCACCAATAGTAGTAAAGTCTAAAACATAAGGACAGCCAATGATGTTGTGTGAGTTTTTACTCAGGTGACGGAGTCATCAGGTTCAACTCTGGCTGAAGCTGTAGCTTTCCATAAAGCTGTTGCTGAAACTGTTAATGAACCTGAAGTTGTTCTTGAAGCTGCTTATGATGCTGAAGTTGATGGTTTAGGGCCTTAAGCCTTCGAATAATAAAGCTGTCGAAAAAACCTTGCACAGCTGCTTTCTTTTCTCATTATACATCTTTATGTAGAGGTCATTTGTATTTATTTTAAATTTAATGCTTTGTTCTGTTAATGGATCCACTTCAGATAATATGTTCAATGCTTGCTCCATATAATATCCACAGACCTCTCACCTTTTTCATATCGTTTTAACACGTCTAGTTTCTCGGCTAAGCTTATACACTTTCATGTTTATATCCGCTTGAAATGAGGCTTCACTGTAATCCCATAATTTGGAAAATATTTTAGACTAGTAAGAATTTGTGTGGGTGAGTGGATTTGAAAATTAACTAGATCAATGGACTAGTGAAAAATTAATAGATTCAGCAGGCCTGGTATAGTATTGATGTTATTCATTTGTGTGGCTAATATGAGTCAGTGAAAGGCCTTTAATGGTTTACATTCCTTGAAAACCATTTGTTAAATAACAGAACAACTGGAAAAAATAGGATTCAGTTCCTCAACGACAAAAACCCAATATTATACCCTAGAAACATCAAATCGGTTCATGTACAGCAAAAAAAAATTAACTTACTCATAAAAAAATAGTACCCAACTACTATAATTTACTCCCTAACACATTTTAAGAGTTAATACAATACCTGTACAACATAACTTTGTTAGCTACCTTACCTTAAGGGAGGGCAGCCAGGGCCCACCACAAGGGGTGAGGAGGGGGTGGACTGACTCGGTGCGTTGAGTAGGGTTAAGGATACCAATCACACCAGAGGTGGAAGGAGTAAAAGAAAATCTGCTGGTGGAGGGAGTGGGACTGGAAGTTAAAGATACAGGATTTGTCCATGGTTTGAAGATGGACCAAGATCTTTCCTGGTCTTTGTAGGGCTGTCACCATGTTCATGATGCTTTATTACCTCCAGCTTTGTCTCAAGAGTCGAATCCTTATGTATTTTCTTCGGTGTAGTACAGGTAGCCAAAGAATCAGAACACGTTGGAAGTCATGACAAACATAATATTGAAAGGATGGCACAAATACAGACTGACAAAAATTAACCACTTCCCGTATGACAATTGGTGGACTGAAACACACTGGCTGGGGGGAGATGTGGGAGGGAGGGGGGATTTGTTATGATCAGTGAGTGAGAATACATCTCTATGCATCTCTCCAGGATGGCTGCCCTGGCTGACTCCCTGGACATGGGGCATGCAATTTGAATTTTTGCTGGGACTAAAATTTTTATAAGCGAGGGTAGCATTTCATAAATAAGAGAGATTGTTAAATTAGGAAACTCGTGTAAACAGATTTTCTTAGCTTGAACATTCATAAAGAAAGGTGAATACCTGTGCAATATATGGTTTGTGACTATTAACCTTAACCAGCAGCTAAAGAATGCCCCCCACCCACCCCGAAAAAAAGGGAATGCAATGAACACGAAAATTCCTTTGGCCTGGCGACTGTACTGTCTTAGGGCTAATATCAGCATAACCTCATTTCAGGCTGCCCCTTCACACACCATCTTTGCTTCCAACACCTCCTCTCTGTCCATTGCCAAGATAGCTGACGCAACTAACCGTAAGGACCGCTTCGGGGGTCTTCACTTTTTTAACCCAGTTCCTGTTATGAAGCTACTTGAGGTAAGTGTTAAATAAGTTTTGTTGTTTTTTTAATTACAGCTTTGTGCTTGTTTACTTTTGTGCAAGTAGTTGCTTGTATGGTTTAAAGCACTCAATGGATGATGGAACTTTTTGGTTAACGTTTAATGCATAATTTGTCTCCCTTGTAATGCTTAATATAGTTGTTTTGCGTGTATTGGTTTTTATTTATGTTTATTGCATGAATCATAGGCATGTAATTGTTGGAAAGGAAATCACATCTGTACAGTGCTTGCCAAAGAATCCTTTATATACAGAATATGCTTTCAAATTAAAGATTGCAGATAGGTGATGTTGATGAAATGACATTATCTTATACCATTTTAAATGCTACTAATATCATAACCATGATCACTAGCATCCATAATATGTGAAGACACACTTGGCATCAGTCATTATGGTGACATGAAAGAACTTTATGTAGAATATCCGTGTACAGTGTAGGAAATTTACAATTTGAATATTGTACAAAGAAAAATCTGAAATTGGACTATTGCACTTATGTTTTTGGCTCATGTTTTGTCTTGTCTTGCTTTTTAAGTTTTCCTTAAAGACCAGATTCATTACTGAATTGTGTGCTGTCATTTTAACCAGTTACTGAACTGTGAATTAATTATCCAGGGAAACTGGTGGTTATATATTAAAGGTGAACCAGTGAGGGTTTGGAATAAAAAAAAAAGTTTAATGATGAGAGAATGATTTTGTTTTATCATTTTAGTTTGAAAATGTGCAGCAAAAGTTCATGAGTACAGTTTATTCTCATTTCCAGAAATTAAGGTTTCACCATTTTTTATGAATACACGTACAAATGGGCACTTTTAATACTATGAATTCATGATTGTACTTAGTAAATGTGAAGATTAATATTGACCTAAAAGAGCCTCTCCTCCAGGGTGTTTTGAACCCCTACGCCCTGGGCTAGGGTGCCGCTGGCCGTAACCCCCCAAGCGGGGTCAATCGAGAAAAATCAACCTTTCCAAAAATAATTTTTAACCTTTTAAAATGATAAAACAATCAAAAAGAAGTAAGAAAAACTATAAATTGACCCTCTAGAAACTTCCCTGACAGCACGGAGTGAGGGAGATAAGAGGACAGCTTGTTTGACGGTAAACGCGTGTGGTCACTACGCACTTAGCGGCTATTTTCCACTTGCCTTTGTGTCCGGGATGGTCAGTAATGCATGTATTTACTGACCATAAGACTTATTTCCAATAAATATTTCATTTAGAATTTATTTTATTTGCATTATTTTTCATAAAAGTGCTCGGCAACACGCACTCAGGCTGTCTGGCTGCCTTTGTGTTTGGGAGAGCAAGTAATGCATATAAATAATTCCATTTGTAACTTATCCATAGAATTATTTTCCATTTATACTACACTACACTACAACTACACTACAAGCACTTTTAGCGTGAGAGGTTGAGGTACGACTTTCCATGGGAACAGGCTAATGCGTCCCAACCGCACTGAGCCCACCCACGCTACCCTGCATGTGGCGTGACCACCAAATAGTCCTGCTGGAACCTTATAACCTGTATTGGGCATCCACAATGGCGCGAAAAGACGTGTGTTCCGGAAAGTCAACCGGGGCGTAGGAGTTAATGGCCAAGGATATACTGTGCACTTCTTTATTATGACTGTTTAGAACAAATGATAAAGACAGTGGACTGATTGGTTTCTCTTGGCTGTGAAAAACTTGGGAAGAGTAAAGGGTTTGCTTCTTTGACCACTCACACTAACTGTTTCAGGAGAATGCTTTACAGTATTTGCATCACATCCACACTGTCCTCTCCATACTCCAGAAAGCAAAACTTCTCTCATAATACAGCTTATTGGAGCAATTATGTTTTAACTTGGCAGCAAGAAATGTTCAGCCTGCTCCACTTTTAGGAAACCTTTAGGAATTTTGTAAGCAGACAAAAAAATTAATTCTTGAATTTAAATGACCTAGGTATCAGTTGAGTTTAACCTTTCAAGGGTGATTCCTTCAACTGTTGCAATTTACCTTTCCTGGCCATTTTTAACCCATAAAGCATCCATCGGTTCTGGTGAAGGTCATTTTGTCGTGTTAATAAAAAATGTTTTAAGTGTTTTTTTGTTGTTGACAGAAGACCGAAAACTTGCATAACTTTGCACTCTGGGCAGTTAAAATTTCCACTACACATCACTATGTGTACATGCATCTCAGAGAATTCCCCAGGGTTTCTCAGGCAAGTGAGCCAAATATGAATGTAAAACTAATTTTCTCTATTTTGCATTCATAAATATTCTATTTATATCCTCTCATTACAGTACTCACATACTCAAAGAAAACTTTGTAATAAATAAGAAATTACAGTAGAAGTCCAAAAATCCGGACTGCTTGGGGATTGGGTCGGTCCGGATTTTCGGATTTTCCGGATTCTCAGGCAGTACTTTTAAAATTCATATTTCAGGAGAAATAAAGAAGAGATGAACAGGTACATTTTGATAGTTTATTCATTAGGAAATAAAGCATGCTTCATTTATCAAAACGAGCAGTTTTAAAGATAAAGCTGTGAATTCTAAAATTTTATTCTTTGCCTTTTTTATATCATAAATTGTAGACTTTCCAACGTCGTATGTTTCCATTAGAACAGTATTGCTCACACCACGTTCTAGTTTCTTAATTATTTCAAGTTTGTCACTCAATTTCATCGTGTTCTTCTTTCTCTTCACACAACGAAGTTTATCTACTTTAGGAGCCATTATTATGGGCTTGTACAGTACTCTGTAAATGGAAAGAGTAGGACTCAAAATTACATACGTTGTCACAGTTTGATTGCTCGTTTTAAAGTGGCGACCGTGTGGTCGCATGTTGTCGCTGTGCAGCTGTGGTGCTCACGCATGCACACATACACACAAAAGCCAGCTAAAAAAAAAAAAAGTTAAGTTTGAGTTTTCGAAAAGTCCGGATTCTCGGGTGGTCCGGATTTTTGGACTTTTACTGTATAAGGTTTTACTAATTTATTTTGCCATGACGAATGGTTTTAGATAGAATAACAAGGACCATGCAACAGCAGGCTGACTGAACATAAACAATGCTATATTTTAGTTTTTCTTTAAAAAATTTCACTTTTATGCTGCTGTTTTCTACTCGTTTACAAAAATGTTATTTGTTGTAATAGATTTATGAGTTTGCAAGAAAATTATTTTAAAAATTATTTATATAAAGAGTTGATAATATATAACATGATAATGGCAACACCTCTAGCCCCTACATGTTTCACCACCTCACGTCACCAAAACATGTACCAAAGAAATGTCACACTGCAGAGATAATTGAATTCCTTGCAAGACCAGGAATATTTTGAATATACACGTCATATATTTTGCACAAAAGATAACATATTTGCTCAGAGTAAACAAAATACTTACAGTAGATCTAAAATTTGTATGTCTAATGCAAAATCTATGATGTTTATATTCAAAATGATCATCAAATTGTAAGAATTCCAGCAATGTAAATTATATTCTGGCCGGGTAATTTGTATGAATTTTATGAGCTAAATAAAAAAATTATACTTCACCCACGTATATGAGGTATATGAGTAGATGCACCTCCTAAAGTGGGAATTCCGGTTCTGGCAGGGTACCTCGTAAGTGTAGAAAATGTAGAAACGCGTAAAGTGAAACCCCAACCCCGTAAAGTGAAACGCGTAAAGCGAGGGTTCACTGTAGTTCAGTGACAAAGAGGAACACCAGGAAAATAAATATAAATACCAGTACAGATATGAATTCATCCAGTTTTACGTACATAGTACTGTATAGTCCAGATTTTTTATGCTGTTCATATTCCAGTGACATTTGCCAAGTTTAAAAATTTTTTCGTGTTATCCTATGAAGCTTCAAAGATTTCATCGAAAGCTGTGATCTGCAATGATGTCATTCAATCAGTGTGGAACTTCTGTTATGAAGAGTAAATAATGTGAAGTAGCAAATGAAAAGAATTCTCATTCCCACTGGTGTTTTCCTCATGACTTGTGAAATTCAAGACTACAGATTGGACCAAGGCTAACATTGCAAGGTAAGTTGCATACTTCACTCCTCACATTTAGGAATTATAGTAAAAGCATTTTAAGTGTGCCAGCTGAGATCCAGAATTTGTCCAAGACTCCCCATATTTTGTGATTGCAACAAAACCCATCTTATACAGAAAAATATACTGTACTCTATACTGTTTAATGCTTACTCATATGCTTGAAACTAGGGGTTTAATTCATATTAGTCCACCCATCCATTTATATATAAACAGTATCACTGATGTGGGTATGTATAGGGTTGGAGCTTTGCGGGAAAGATGAAGGAGAAGTAAATATGTTGGAAACCCCAGAGAACATGGACTACTACTGTTGAACACTGGGTTTATGAAGAGGGAAGAACACTTTTTGATATACTGTACAAGAGTGAGGGGAAACTGCAGTCAGATCGGTAACAGCTTGGTGAGTTAAATTGGAAGTGTGTGTGGTAAATTGCAAGTTTATGCTAGCTGAAGCTGTTTTGAGGGAACTTAGTTTTCCAATCATGGATATCATGTGGTTAAAAGTAAAAAGGAAATTAGTTACACCTTGTTGAGTTAAAAGTGATAGGAAGTGTGTGTGGTAAATGTCAAGGTTATTCCTGTGGAAGCTGTTTTGAAGAGACTTGGGTTTCAAGTCATGGATATTATTTTATTTGAGGTCAGAAGGAACTAACCAGCAGAGAGACTTAAGACCAAGGTGTGGGGAGCTGAGGGAGGAAAATTTATAAAGTAGGAGGAGGTGGTTCATTATAGAGAGAGAGTTGTGAAATGAAGAAAATACACATGGATAGAGGGTTTGCAAAAAACTGAGGGAGGGACACCTTGGAAACAGAAACTTGGGGGTGGGATATAGGTTAGTAGGGTGAAACTAATATACAGAAATGAACATTTAAGAAGTGAGAAACAAGAAGAGAACATGATCTACGTGAAGAAGACAGGAAAAGTAAGTGGACAGTATTTTGAAGGCTACTGAATATGGAAAAGATAAGACATTTGATTATAAAAAAAGGGTGGCAACCAAGGTATCAGTGATAGTTGAGCAGAGAAGCTGCCAAAAAGGGCAGAATATTTCAAATTGGGAGGGAAGCACCAAATTTGGTAGATATGTAGTTAAACCTATGTGGAAGCTATAAAAGTTGGACCCATCTCTTAATTTTATTCTGAGGTAGTCAACTGGCACCATGGATGTTCGCTATGATCAACATCACTGTGCTCGCTGGTTACCATTACATCTTCCAGACATGTTGGCTACCCAGTAAGCACTCACAAGTGTATGAAGAATTCAAGAATGGTAAATATGTTGTTCAAAAGTCTGGTCATGTGTTCAGCATGATTGTGGTCTACATAACTATGAGCAAGAAAATGAAGCTATCAAAGGCGATGTTGGTGCCGTGGGCCTCACAGAGAGTTCATCAGCTGTTGGAAGGTAGATACAGTAAGGTAATTGCTGGTCCAGAGGTGGCTAGGGTTGTGAAGGAATTTGAATAAATTTCCCTGCATTCAAAGAATGCAGGGTGCCATCAATTCAGAAGTCCTCTGCCAAGACTATGAAGTGCCTTGTAATGCTGATGGAGGAAATTACAAACCCATTCGAAGTGGAGTCAGCAGAATTGTAGAGCATAACTACAAAAGAAATCATGCCCTCATCACCAGTGGATTCGGTGAACGACATTGAACACCTTGGCCAGTCACAGTATGAAGCATATGTTGATAAAGCAACTCCAATTGTGCACAAAGCAATTGAAAGAAACAACCTGTCGCTGTTCAATACTCTCACCCACCCTTGTAGCCCTGAAGAGTGATTTTAATTTATTTGCTAGACTTTACATTGCATGTCAAGCAAGGGATGATAATCTTGAGGAATTTTTCGGCTTTGAAAATCTGGGTTGATGTATGTGGAATTCTGGTGGATGATGCTGAGTGGGTATGTGTATACTGGCTGAGTAGATATGTGCTTTAATTAGGCCTCTTGCCTCTAGTGGGGAACCATTGAGCCTAATATCCCTCATTCAAGATGTAACAAGGATAAGTGGTCGGGCATGTACAGTAATGATGAACTCGGATATATTTGCTCCTCTGAAAAATAGGATTTCATGGTCAAGTCTTTATTTTTATTTATTTATAAATTAATATAGTAGCCATATTTATTCCCTGTCAGATGTACAATACCCACCTATTAAGATCTTGTATTGCCGCACAGTACTGTATGGAGTCCTACCCACCTCAGGAATACCATTTTGATTTTTCCCTAATTCACATTTTAGAAGCACACAGGCATGTTTGTTATGCCAGCCTTAAAGTAGTGATCAGCATGAAAATATAAAGTACTGTACTTTAAGATTTTGAGCCACGCTAATGGAGAGTTAAGGTAGCTTGTGCATGTTACAAAATATTTTACTAATATTTTTTTATGTAAGCATGTATTGAGTTCATATATGGTGGTATAGTATTCATGGTGCTTCCATGGTATGGATGTTCCTATTCAAAACAGAAATGATCTAGCTGTTAACAAAATCCCTGAGACTATTCTCCTGAAATAAGATGAAAAGGGTAAGCTAAAAGTTGTGCAGTCTGGTTAACAAGCTGACAATAATCCATTCATTACAACAAATGAAATGATCCAATCAAATATATGCTGTATATATTATCCTATTGATTGTGTCTTACATCATCAGAGTTTATTTTTCTTACAGGACCACAACACTGGGTACAGTACCTGTATACCTATTTCCTGGTTTCTCTTAGATTTAAGCTTCCTACATTTTCCTGTTAAGGTTATTAAATATATTTATAATTAATAAATGTTTATTAATTAATGATAACTCGGAATATATGGAGCTTCAATCATTCCGAGTTATCAAGGCAGTTTCCTCCCAGTCTTTTGTCACAACCCAATACCCAACTTTTTGGCCAAATTAACCTACCATAATCAGAAAATTTGCACAAAAATTAACTATCACCAGCACTGCAGGCAAAGGGTGAGGATAAATCAAGCTTGTGGTACCATGTAGTAGGTGTCAGTGGTGATGGGGGGGGGGGGGCCTCACTGCACTACAGTACACTATACAGTAAGCACTTACTGTACCAACTTGACCAGTGAATGCCTGGGAGGTGCTCACTGAACCAAAATTAGCACTTGAAGTGGTTATTTTTTAACCCATAATTTTGGATTGACTCTCATAATTTATTTTCTCTGTTACATGCACACACAATCTTTCATACAGAATGTGCCAAAAACTTTAAAAAAAATATCATAAGGTCAAAAACAAAAGGAATAAACGTTTCCTGCATGGGACTTATCACACAGCAGGGGAGGAGAGAGTGGCGTGGGGGATATCTCTGCTGTTTAGTGTCCCGTGTGTAGTGAAACTATAGACAATTTGTAATGCAATATTTTTCTTTTTTATTAGTAATAATTTTATTTATTCCTCACATTTACTGGCACAGTATACAGGTATATTATTTTATGTACAAAGAATAGCTCCTCTGGGCGATGAGACATAATTCACCTCCTCAGCAACCCAGCTGACTTACATCAGGGAAGGAAGGGTGGGAGGGAGTGACCCAGTTGCACTTACAGCTCACTGTTTCACACAAACGTTCACATCCCACACATACAGACCCGTGCTCTTCATTTTTTTTTATACGTACTATTTTCTTTATTTCTGTCACGTTCGAGTACAGTAAAGCCTCCGATAACGACGGTTCTACTAATGACGATTCATATTTAAGACCCTGGTTAATTTGGACCCAATTCAATTTACACCATTATTTTATTCATATTTAAAACAACAATAAAATAAAATTACAGTTTCATAACAGCTCACAGTTCTGTATATTTTCATTTGTATCAGGTATGTGTAGATTTAAAGCAGGCTATACTATACTGTATAGTGAATGAGGTTCAGCTCTAAATGTAGCAATATAAAGAAAGAGTATAGAGGTACGGTACATCTTCTGGTGCTTGGTGTTACAGGACGTAAAGGCACATCCTCACTGTGTGGATTAGTAAATTTGTAAATAAATAATACTGTGATTGTCAACTCATGAATTTTCCTATTACCTGTACCTAGTCAATGTATAATTAGTTCAGTATTGAGGATTAAATTACATCTTTGAGCATAAATGTTATTTGAGAAGAATTACTATTTACATGTACTTTCAGTACTGAAGTGATGTATTGTACAGTACTGTACTTGTAAAGTCAGTTACTTATTTAATTTTATGTAAGTAGTCTCCAATGTGGCTACTTTTACGTGAGTAACTGTTTTCCCCTGTAACATAACTTTACTTATGTAGAGTTTTCCAGTTTTTGAGCATCACTGTTGATTAAACGCCCCTTACTTTACTTATGTAGGGAGGTACTGTACTGAAAACAGGGTGATGAACTACTAAGAGCATGGATGTGAGCAATGTACATATGAACGGAGGCAGAGAAGTGTTAGTAATTGTGATGCATATTTTGTTTGTCTCCATGCTGAACAACCTTCAGATGATGCATTGGAAACTTTGGTACCTTTTATTGCTTACAGACTCCTATTGGCTGAAAGAGCCTTGCATTCGGTTATTGTCTCTTGTTACTTGATTTCATCTTGGTGGCGTTTGCATCATTGATATAACCAGTTGAGTAAACTCTTGATCTAAGCATAGGTTTCAACCTTAAATAGATGCTATGATACAGTATATTCATTATGATGGTTCTTATTTTTAAAATTACAATAAATTAACTTCCTGGTGAAAGATCTTGTAACTTATAATATTGATTTGTGGGCAAAGTATCCAGTACCTTGTATATCTTAACCCCCATGAGTCACTGCGTTGAATTAACCCAATACAGTATGTGTTTGTTCTCTCTTTTCATTATAAATTTGCAAATTCTTTTATTGATTAAATTATTAATCTGTCAATGAATCCAAGCTGGAACACTTATTGTGTGTAGTATTGAGTGCTGTACACAAGAAATTGTTATCTGATTTTTGTCATTTTGCGTGTATCATCTTATATTCTGGGTGAATTAATAATTAAATTATGTATTAATAATTTATATTGTAATTGGAGATATTTGTTATATGAAATATCAGAAAAATGTACTGTACAGTATATAATTGTTTTCCTTTTATTCATTATGAATGTCTTCTTTTCTTTATATAAAGGTGGTACGTATCCCAGAAACCTCCCAAGAGACTTACGAAGCCATGTGTGGGTGGGGCAAGGCCATGGGTAAGGTAACTGTGGCGTGTAAGGACACACCTGGGTTTATTGTCAACCGCCTACTCGTACCTTACATGTATGAAGCTGTTCGAATCCTAGAGAGAGGTAAGCAGTTGTCTTATGCAGTTCTAGAACACCCATAAATTAAGTGTTGTTAATGAGCATAATTGCTCAAAACTTACTTTGTATGCTGGACAAGACATGTGACAGAGTGGCATTAATTGTATTTGTTACACCATTATACTTCAACATTTACTGGGTGGCATTAGTTTTATCTACTTGCCATGAATGCCACAGGATGAGCCACAGTATGTCTGCACATGGGTCTATCCTTTCCTGGTACTGACTGCATGCACATGCTCTCCACCATCATTTGATCCACCCCACACAGAAGTGGAAGAGTAACAATGTTAGATAGTTTATACATAAAGTACTGTACTATGTACCTTCACTAATTCAAAGTACAAGAGACCCATAATAAGATTGACAGCTCTCACTTCAAACCAAAGTTTTGTTAGTGAGAAGTTGTGATTGAGAGTAGCCAGATAGACCATAATTTTAATCTCAAGCAAAGGGACTAGTAAGCGAGGCCAAGAAAAGTGTAACATTTTATTAAGTTATGAGTAAATTATTGCTTCAACAACAAATTAACCCTTTGACTGCAGGAGGTTACCTTTCACTGGATAAAATCATATGGTGGTAGCCAAAATAAAATGGTAAGTGCAGAAATGACAGCAAAAGGGTTAAAGAAGTTAGCAAAAGTAACTCAGAGGAGTGTTTTATATATATATATATATATATATATATATATATATATATATATATATATATATATATATATATATATATATATATATATATATATATATATATATATATATATATATATATATATATACACATGGGATTAGCCCACCAGAGCACAGTTCAATGACCCACATCAGGGCACAGGGGCAAAAATATAATAATTATAATATTAAATAATAATACTAATTTTAATTAATAAAAATGAATAAAAAATTATAATACATTTTACATAAACGTACAGTGGACCCTTCATTAATGAGCGGTTCAATTTACGAGATTTTAGTAAATGAGTTACCTCCCGTAAGGACTTTCAGTTCTATTAGCGAGTACAAATTCTATTGATGGCAGCCTTACAAGAAACATGTTTTGGTGCGCGCATCAGCTGATCGACCGGTCCGCCAATACGTAATTGGTTCTATTTTTACCTTTGTTTCCAGTGGAGTAAACATCGAGAAAGTTGTGCTCGTGAATATTTTTGCATTTTTAGATTAAATTTATTAGTCATTCTGAAATTTAGTTAACAGTGCAGTGTTGGTTTAAATAAAAAAAATCTGGACTTGGATTTTGGAAGATTTGAACAAAAAAATGGGAACTATGAGCTAAGAAGCCTCCCTAAGAAGCATTTCCAAAACCGGGTGAAGGTAGTTTTAGGCTTAAAGTTTTTATCCTATAAAATGTCACAGCCTAAAATTATCAGAATACAATTTGCATTGTTGGAATCCTTGGATGACAGCAAATAATTTGAATATAGACATCATATATTTTGCACAAAAGATAAAATTTTTAGTACTAAAGTGTAGTACAGTGGTTCTCAACCTGGGGGCCATGGACCCCAAGGGAGCCATGGCGAGCTGTTATAAATTGTACGTTTCCAAATAATGTTGGGAATCTGAATTAAACAAAACTTGTATTACTTATTTTGACTTGGCAGAAGAGAATTGTCATTCTTTTTTGGTCATTTTGTTTAATCATAACGACAATACAATTTTAATATTTACACACTCTGGTGCTATTTTTTTTTTTTTTTCTTCTTACGGATTATTTAAGATTTCACAGATCCAGTCCCTGTCTGTGTGATAGGCGCTGGACCGAACTGCTGAACTGACTTGTTCAGTACGTGTCCGTGTGTCATCCCTTTGCAAGTGGTGATAGGACCGAATGATCTCAGTCTGACTTGGGATACCATCACGAATACAGTGAACCATATATTGTGTTTGAGCTTGACTCAAGCATAATATACTCCGTAATTGGTGTTACTTATTTTGTTTTATATTTCATGTGGTCGCTGCTTTACATTAACCGAGGGTCCACTGTAGTGTATGATGTCACAAGTTGGCTGCCATAAGAAGTAACTAAAGAAGCAGTCGTCTCTGGGCTGACACATATCTCCTTCTTTGTTCACGGACAATCTTGGAATAGATAAGAAGTACTGTACTATACAATTTATATGGCTTTGTCTTTCATAGGGAGAAATGATAATTCTTATTTCCTCTCATTCCAGGTGATGCCAGTGTTCGTGATATTGACACTTCAATGAAGCTTGGTGCTGGTTACCCAATGGGGCCCTTTGAACTCATGGACTATGTAGGCCTTGACACTGGAAAGTTTATTGTTGATGGTATGTTATGTGGTATTAACACAGTCTAATTACCAATTACTGTACCCAGCCTTCCTCCATTCATTACCTCTAAGTTACAGTATGTCCTCTCTTTTAGCCTCTACTTTACACCCCTTTCATCTTTCAACAGTCACCTTCAACATTTTTAGTCAGGCATAATAATTCTTAACTGTCACCATCTGAAAACATTTTACTCATCCCAGCATTAAGCTCCTCACTTTTACCATCCACTAAGCTTATATATTAAGACATACTTATTCAATAAAATTATCATACAATTAGATTCAGGACATACAGTATATGTAGACAGTGTCATGCAAACAGTAGTAAATACAGTAGTAGGTCAGTTAAATGATCCAGCCACAGAGTATTCACATTTTAGGAACCTTCATATATTTTCTTATCCTCAATGTTTCACAGACAGTTTCCACACTCGCCTGGGTTAGCCATGATTGCCTGATGGCAGCTCTCCATGCTTCACTGTATTTTGCAGTCTGTCTCATCAGGTTGTTAGCTCTGATATAATTTCTTACAACCCCTCTCCATGTCATCACTGTCCTACCCCTGGCTCTCCTCTCCACATTTAGGCTCAAGTATTGTACCACTTGACCCAATTGGTCTCCCTCTTTCTCCTATTTTTTTTATAAATTTTAAAGTAATATATCCGTTGCCCAGAATCCCTCAAACCCGGAACTCTCCGATAGCCGGAATTGAAATTTTCTCAAATTCATTCCCAAAGCTGGAATTTCCAGAAAATTCCTGCTTTGGGAACGATTTTCCAAGGGGCACATTTTCTGGAAATTTTTGCAATGCCCAGAAAATTCCAGAAAATTATGGGGATGGAGTTTTTTCCGGGTTTGAGAGTTGATGAAATGGGTAATTTCTGAAACTTCCGAGAACATTTTTCCGTTACTCGGAAAATTCTGGGGAGGAGGATATTTTTCCGGCTTTAAGAGAGAGTTCTCGTTACCCAGAAATATCTCATCCTCGTAAGTGCTCTGCACCAATTGTTTCGGCTAACGGAAATATCACTTCCTTTATTTTCATCATAAATAGTGTTGAATGATAAACTTAAATTGTTCTGTCCAGGATCAAATTTACCAACTACACAGCATTTGTTTCAATTTGTCATAATCTAAAAATTATAGAGTAGAATATACAGTAGTTATATCTATGAATTAGAAATTTTGCTTAATTCTTGAAGGCAATTTAAAGGTATAAGTGTGTACAAAGACAGCTGCTTCTCACCCTGTGGCACATCATATGAGGCCAGTAATAAGAGCTGTCATCTGCTCAAGTTGGCAATTTAGGTGGGATGCCATCAGAGCAAATAAGTTCTGCGGCAACCACCCTGCTTTGGGTGTCTGGGGATATCAGGGACTGTCACGCCTCGGCATTTGCCACACGCAGATGACTCATGATTTTTTAATGGAGAGGGCGCCCCATTGTGATGACTACCTGGTCCCATAGACTGTTCAACACCTCCTGGTGGTACCCCAGTCTTAACCCTTTGGCTGCGGGAGGTTACCCTAAGCTGAATAAAATCGTTTGGAGGTAGCCAGAATAAAATGGGAAGTGCGGGAAACGCAGCGAAAGGGTTAAAGATATTTGTCGTAAGCACCTCTCCAAGTGCTGGGGAGACAGTCTTACTCTCTCTCTCTCTCTCTGGTGCTGGGGGGTGTTAGCGAAGGAGGAGACATCCTCTCCTTTGTGTAGGAAACTGTCCTACACAAGCTTCGAGCTTTATCTATTAATGTTTAAATGGTTTTCATGAAAGTTATATGCTATTTATTATGTGTTTATTACCTTGCATTATTAGTTTTTAGCCTTTTAAGATTTTTATTTTAATTCAGCGGCATATGACCTAAGCCGTTGTGCTGTCGGATATATTTACCACAATAAATCAATCTTCTCTTGATATGTGGATTCACACTGCATTTGGAGCAGTTCATGCCACCTCCTCCCCTTTTCATAGCTGGATTCTGTATTTACTAGTGGTCCTTTGCAGGGTCTGTTATGAATAAGAGATTGATCTTGAAATCCTAGTTTATAACTGAGCCTGGATATAATAACTTGGTTCCCACCTTGCCTCCTTGGATTTTCACACTGTTTGATAGGACTTAATGTGATTATGCATTCCGGTTTATGAATAAGCCTGAACAGGGTTTGCTCTTGGCATCTTTGCGGTTCATTAACTATTGTCCTATCAGGCAATTGTGACTTTTTTCTTAAACTTTTTATAGGGATTAGGGTTTTTGTGGAAGAGAAGGATAATCCTCTGATGATACTCCAGCTGTTGAGAATCAAGTCATCCCTGGGCTCCCAAGCCTCAGTGGACATATTAAAAAATAAATAAAAATCTGTCCGGGCTTAACTATAAAGTAAAACCAGGATTAAGTCCTCGTTTATAACATTATAGATAAATTTGCAAGAGTACATAGGATTTTTTTTCCCAATTTCTTTAGCTTTATTATGTACAGCATGCCCTTCAAATTCACCGGGTTGGGTTCTCAAAATGGCTGCGAACCGCCAAGTACGCGAATAACATTTGCTGATTGGGGGGGGGGGGGTACATTTTTACTTGTGTACAAAGAAATGTATGTTCCCTTTATATGTTTGCCCTGAGGACAATTATTTCTTTTACCTGTATTGTATATATATTTGTGTGTGTGTGTGTAGACACACACACACACATAAAACACATACAAATAAATAATAATGGGAAAATCTTCTCACAAATAATCAGAATTATATATTTTTTTTTATGTTGAGTCCACCCTCAAGTCCACTCTGTGTTTTATTAATAACAAAGCACAGAGTGGACTTGAGGGTAGACTCAACATTTTTTAATATTTTGTTTTTCCGATTACTGTATTTGTGAGGGTTTTCCCATTATTTTTTATTTGTATGTGTTTTATGTGTGTGTGTGTCTACACACAGACACACATATATATACGTATATGCAATACAGGTAAAGGAAATTACTCTCTCTAGAACGAATGGCTCCCTGTCCAGGCCGTGAAAATGCCAGCAACCCTTAGACATTATTGGGTACATCCAGGATGTCATCCGCAAACAATAGAGGATCGAGAAATAAAAATCCGCGAATTATCCGGGCGTACTGTATGCTGTAGTTTTTATTTGTCTTTTGCATCTTCTTCTTCATAGAACTTTGCTATACCTAGCAGCTCCAATTATTGTCAGTATATAGGTGCACATCATACGCTCACCTCTTAAAATTGATTTGTCAGGTTTCATTCAACAAACACACTTTAATATGCAGTACTCTACTCCCCAAAATTTTAAGTTGTTAATTTTTTTTGGCATAATGTCTCCACCCTTCAACTTTGCATCAACATTAATTGTACAATATTTTTCACTTTTACAATCATTGCATCATAAATTCTTTTAACTCTTTAACCGTATGCATGCATTAAACTTTTTTATTTTTTACCCCAGGTTGGCACAAGGAATACCCAGATATGCCACTGTTTGAGCCATCTCCTCTAATTGAGAAATTGGTGCAAGAGGGTAAATTAGGAGTGAAAACTGGCGAAGGATTCTACAAGTACAACAAAAAATAAGATTGGAATATTCAAAGAAGCTAATAACATTTATTTTTAGATGAAACAACATTGTCCTCATGATTTGAAGAAAAAAAATTATTATCGAGTGTATCTTGGTACCTATGTTTGATGGGATTAGGTTGTATAGAAATGGGGATATTATTGTTTTGGTATTGTATAGGGTTTGGGGTTTGGAAGGAGTTATGTGCACATCAATGCAATTTTATATTAATAAGTAATCCTGTTTTTTGTAGATTATATCAAATATATGTGCAGGTCATTGCAATGTAATTAATATTTCATGCAACCTTTTGCAAATTAAAATTTGATATTTTGTCATTTTGCTTTTGCATTCCTCAAATGGGTTTACAAGAATATCTTTTATGAATACCTGTATTGACATTCCTTTACCATATTATTTATTTGTACTGTATAAGCAGTATGTAATATTTTACATGTACAGTAATGTTAAAACACCTGCCCCCCACACTACCTACCTTTACTGCCCCCCACACTACCTACCTTTACTGCCCCCCACACTACCTACCTTTACTGCCCCCCACACTACCTACTGCCCCTACCTACCTGCCCCCACACTACCTACCTTTACTGCCCCCACTACTACCTTTACTGCCCCCACACCTACCTTTTCTGCCCCCCACACTACCTACCTTCTGCCCCCCACACTACCTACCTTCACTGCCCCCACACTAGATAGCCCGGCTTGTTTTGTTTTGTTTCTTTTATTATTTACTTATATTCTCTTTTCCAGTTCTCATCAACGAATATATCTCTATGTGCTATCATTGTGTACACTGTATCTCCCTATGGATGGTGGATTGTAGGCACAATTTCAGTCCTTGAGAAAGCACACACACAAAAGAAAAAATCTTTTTGGCACCAATAATACAACTTGGTTACTGCCGGTAGTGGTGCCTGATTGCCTTCCCCAATTTGTTCTTCACTTCAAATTATTTATAACCTCCTCTGTGGTCACTGATGTCACTATGAACTGTCTTAACTAAAGGCACAGTACTACACTCTCTGGTTGACCTTTGGATGGTCTATCACAGCTATGAACACAACGAAAAAAAAATAATCCGGATAAATCTTGTCATATGACAATGATTTTGTGGTTGTATGGCTCCCGACCTAGGCTGTACCTCCAGTCAGTGGAAAGTGATTTTCAAATATACAATCACGAATAACGTTAAAAATCCTACATCGATTTACACATTCATATCACTAAGACAATCTTCATGTTCTTCCCTGCCCACCCAAATTTCTTTACTCCCTCTTCCGTGACCTCAGTGCCTTTGACCTTCCTCAGTAATCTCTGCTAACCTGATTTTTTTTATCAGTCTGCCTCCCACCATCCATCCCCTCAGCAGTGATGAACACTTGACCCAAACCTAGCATTAAGATTAGGATTTATATTTGTAAATATCTTTACTCGGTTATCTGCCACCTATGGGGATTGACAGGTGCTGGATAAAGAGATTTTCCGGTTAGTTAAACCTCACTCTTAGGATCCCTAAGTAAATCTTTCAGTGCACAGTGTTACAGACTGACCTCGCAAATTCGTCTCCGAAAAACTGTCTTCTCTTAACACTTATTCCACTCTATAAATGATGTGGCTTAGAAATAAAGAAAATGTAATAGAAAACTATAAAATAAGAAATTGAAGAGCATGTGTGTGTGTGTATGAGTATGTGTGGGAACTGAATGTATGTGAAGGCAGTGTGGCGATAACTGCGTCATTGACTCGCCAGCCCAGTCGCCTCATGTATTTACATGTAATGAGACTAAAAGTTGTGGAAAAATCTTTACAATATTATGATGTGGTTTAGAAATAAAGAGAATATAATATAAAACTATGTATGTGTGAGAAGTGTATGCATGTTAATGTATGTGGTGGCGGTGGGCTGTAATGCGTGGCCACACTTCCTCCCAATGTGACCTCATGGCATACAGAGCACGGCAGCCACACGTCGTTGAGTCAGGTGGTTGACTGCCTGGTTGAGGTTGAACTGTGTCGCCTCGCCAGAGGATGGTTGGAGTGTGGAAGGAGCTTGTGAGGTTTCGTGATGTTGAATCGCACGTAGGATGGAGGTGAGAAGGGAATCTCAGCTATGGCATTTTCTCTATATAAATATATTATATACAAAACAATCTTGTGCTGGGAAGTTGCTGTGTGGTAGAGGAGTTGCTGTGCAGCAGCTTCTTTAGAGGAGGTGTTGTGTGTTGCAGAGCTCTTGGTAGAATGCCTTTCACAACGAGGCTGTGAGCTTATATACACGTCCACCGGAAGTAAGCGTCGCTGGTGGCTGACCCCCGGCGAGTCTAGACGGCTAGGCTTGTCAGAGAAACTTGACGCAGGATCTGCTGATTAGTGAGTAATGGCAGTGGCAGTTGTAGGGGAGAGTATCCACTACAAGCCTCTTTTTTTTTTTTTCATACAATAGATGTTATGATATGCTATGTATCAATTTTGTTGTTTACCATAGTAATAAATATGGCAGCTCTTCCCCATTATCCGTGGTATTCAAACTTAAGTATCCAGCTGATTTTGGAACAAATGTATTTTTATTATTATTTCAGTTTGGTGCCAGTTAGTCGAATCTGCTGGTCACCCAGACTCCGGATAACCTGGATTCTACTGTACTGTACTGTATACTGTATAATCTGTATTGATTATGATGCAAGAAAAGGAGTTCAGCCAATATATTTCCATGAGCTCACATGAGACGAGTATAAGAACCACGGTTTGGCCGCCCCCGACATACTGTATATACGGTAATCATTGTGTACACCAAATATATATTTTTTTAAGCATTTAGTCTATGGGAAAATGTGCTTTGATACTGTACACTGCACCTGTGTATGTTGTAGAATTATTATGTGTGCTGCATTATTTTGGGGTAGTTCTTGCTTTCTGTAGTAAAATTTAAAATACTATTTCATGGTTTTTGGCTCATTGTCAAGTGGCTTTTTAGATACCCAACCAGAACCCCTGGCAGAACGTACATTGACCAATGGCTTATACTATATAATCAGTGGCTAGTGAGTGTCTGGGATGATTACCTTGCTGTATCATGTGACTTACAACCCACAGTCTTAAACTTAGGTCTCTGAAATGTAATCCTTACTTTTTCCCCATTTAATAATATATGCAAGGATCTATTGTGTTAAAGTGTTTCCACAGATCCTTGCATGGCTTGAAGGAGGTATGTTAAAATGGCTGTGAGAGGTTTGATGTAATATACCTTGACTTGTGATACCAGATTAGAGATACAGTACTGATTTATAAATTACTAAATCTAAGCATTAAACATTGGAATCCATTTATCCTCCCTTGGTAGGTTTCCAAATAAGTAGGAAAGTGTGAGGACTGAAGTTTCTGACTGGGAGCTCAAATCGAGCAAATTAGCTCGAGGGTTCATGCTAGTGAATGTATCTCGTACCTACAGAATTTAGCCACAGTTCATCTAGATAATGAGCAATCCATCCTTATAGTGACCCTATATCTTGAATGCAGATAACCCCGAGGTCAAGGGTGGCTTTACCAGGGGATATTCATAGGGAGTGTCTGATTGGTCACTTGTCTGTTCCCCTTAGAAATTAAATGAGATTTCCTACTTTAGTCATTTACCTTCAGTTTTGTACAATAGAAGAAAAATGAGAGTTTATCTGGAATTTTCAATATCTTGATGCACAATTCATATTTCTACAGAAAACTTAAATGATGATTACATAAATATAAAATACTTTTAAGTGTAAATACATTTACATTTTTATATAACTTTACTGTTTTTAAACATATTAATACCTGTAGTTGAAGAAAAACAGTACTTTAGAACATGAGACTAGTGTTAAACGTTTTTCCTGTATAATATCTAAGGAACCCCCCTTGCAATTGGCATATCCTCAAGTCCTGTATTGCCTAAGTTTGGCACAGGTTAGATCAGTGGTCCCCAACTTGTAGTTCGCGGGCGCCATGACGCCCGCGGAACCATATCATGGAGCCCGCAAGGGTTTATTCGAAAATTTTGAATTATTTGGGATTTTTATATGAATGAAATTAATGGAAATATGTAATACCTGTAACTTAATACAGCTGTCTTATACAGGGCGTATGTATTTACCCCAGACCGGGCCCAGAGAGAGAGCCAGCCTTCTCACGTCCTGTCCAAGAGTAAATGTAAAAAATATGTAACTGGTCACAGTTAGATGTGTAAAACTACAAATAACTGGACAGTGTATATGATTTTTTTTTCTTGAATGTAGATCCAAAGTTTTGGCGCCCTCCACTATTTTACAATGATAAATCTGGCTCAGAGCCTACAAAGGGTTGGGGACCACTGGCTCTAGATGTTAAAGCTCTTACAATACATGCACAGAGAAACTGGTTTGCCTATTCTCTTGTCTGCTCCAGTATCAAATCAGGACTAATATAACGATAGATTTTATCTGAAAATTGCTCCTCTACTTCAGTGAACCTGGTGTATCAGCTGCCACTTCAGCTGTTGATATCCTGGTTTTACTCGAGTCGTCTTCAGTTATATCTTCAACTGTTCACACTCTTGGTTTTTGGCTGGCAGATTGTGCGGATCTCAGAAACATCTGAAGACACATATAATGCTATGAAGACGTTTGGGAAGAACATGGGCAAGGTGTCTGTATTGTGCAAGGATAACCCTGGCTTCATCGCTAACAGACTGGTTGTTCCCTACCTCCTGTCTGCTGTTAGGATGGTTGAACGAGGTTCGTTATATTTATATTTGAATTGGTGAAGTGTCTTTTTAAAAGTGTCTGTCTGTTCATGGAACTACCCGTACTTTTCTGCATACTTGTAACTTCAGCAGAAAGTTGTTTCATGGACATATTTCACATTTGTGTGGGCTGACTGTACTATGAATAATGAACCTACAGTATGATTTAAAACAATGGAGTGTTCTTGTAAAGTACTATGCATCGCTTCCCAATACACAAAGGGAGGCCATATGGTTGTGACCCTCCTGTTGCGTATTTCAGGTGATGCCACTACAAGGGATGTGGACACTGCCTTAAAGCTGGGTGGCGGGTTCCCGATGGGACCCTTTGAGCTGTTTGACCACATCGGCATTGATACCCTGCTGTTCGTTAGTGAACGTAAGAGATAAAATAGCAGAACATTACTCTCTCTCTCTCTCTCTCACACACACACACACAGAGTCACATAACTGGCATAACATAGAAAATGGGAAATACCCTGCACAGGTATCTTACATCAGTGCAAAAGACCAATCACATTACCTTCAGTTGAGACAAAAACACCGAGAACATGGTACATATACGGC